CCTTTCAGGGAGGTGGGAGGCTAAATTGAAAAGCAATTTCAGCAGGGAACACTTTGGGCCAAGTCAAGTGTTTCTGGTGAGAACCTCCATTTAAAGTAAACAGCAAAACTAACACAGGCTGGATTAAATCAGCAAATAATTGCCTACAGCAAGGAGAGGGCTGCTCAGCAGCCCATGCCCAGGCAGGGGATATTTCAGCATTCACAGCCAGGTGCTAAATCAAACCCATCACTAGAAGTTTGGGATGGCTCCTTCAGGAACCTGCTATCAGCCCCTCCTGGATCAGCATTTTCCTTCCCTTGCTTATCTCGGTGTCACATATTGCATAGCAGCAAACAAAACCCTGTGTTTTATTTTGCTAGTGTGGGTTTTGCTTTTTTTTTTATAATCCCAGTTATTTTCTCCTTTCACACTCCAAAATTGAGGACTCCTTCAGCAGCTCATTGCCGCTGCAGGCAGCTTCGGAGTCACAGCAGTATTGGTGGGTTGACTTAATTATAAGGCAGGATTTTAAAACCCTGTCCCAAGTCACTTAACCTGGGGTAGATCTTGGGCTCCCCAGTATATTTTCTTACCAAACCAAGTCTCCCCAAATTCACAACTCTCTCTGCTGGCCACTCCCCCATCGCTACATCTATTAAGGCTGTGACTTTGGTGGCTACACAAATCTCTAGCATGATTCATGGGGTTTTGCCCATCACTACCTACAGCCTCAGGGTTCCACAGTGATGCAGAGTTACAAGAAAGCCCCAGTTTATCCTCCCTCTTGTCTTACTTGTACAGCCCAGAGCTGCTGCGGTCGCACGAGGACCCTATTGCGACAGGGACGCTGCAGTACAACAGTTTAGTATACTTTTTAGCTCACATATGGGCTTTGGGCTTAAATCCATACTTAAGAGCTCCCTTGGTCTAGGGCCTGCAAAAGTCCGCACCGGCATACAGCAATCACACAGCACTCCCTTATTCACCAGCTTAAGAGTTACATTGCTGATTGCCACCACGTAACACAGCTCTTGCTGGGGCAGGAGGTGACTTCCAAAGCAGAATATCAACCAAAACATCCTCAGAAACCTCATTTCTAAGGAAACCATTTAACACTCCTTCTGCAAGGTCAGGAAATTTTAAAAAAAAAAACACTATAAAGGGCTCTGCAAAGATTTCATACCACCACAGCACTGCCTTAAACAGAGGATCTTCAGCACCCCTCGTACAGTGCAGGCTTCTTCCCCAGGGAAATAAACCCCATCCCAAGCCAACCCACCAAGGGGGCTTCACCCACCTCCTGCTAAAAAACATAAAGCAAACTTACATTTAGCAAAGACACCACAGTTCAGAGCCACACAACCTTCATCCACGCTGCTTTTGAGTCTCCAAAGCACAAAGACCTACAGCACAAAGCTACCTGGGAGCAGGAAGAGCACTCAATAATTAACAAACCACCCCAACCTGGGAAACACCAACCACTCGCAAAATGCAACCCCCAAAGCAGAGCTCAGCTGTGCTCGATTTAAAGCCGAGGCAACAGCACGGGGGAAGGTGGGGAGCTTGGAGAAGCGTGCACTTGCACACATACTTGTGCAACCCATCTTGCAGGAGCCAGCTTGTTTCTGGGGCTTTTAGACTAGATGATTTCCAAATTAATCATGAGGAGCAGCTTGGCAAAGTGAGTTATTTCTGCTGACCGACAGCTAAGCATCCGAGTGCTGCTCGGTGCCGTGGAAAACAGCTTGTGCGGCTCCTCCCTGTCTCTTCTGTGTGCACAGGGGCGCAAGGACAAGCTGCTGCTTCCCTTGAGAGATACACCAGGGCAGATGTTCCTTCTGGATCCAGCTGTTTTAGGAAAAGACATTGCCTTGCTGGGTGCAACCTGCTGTCCCCCACTGGTGCCATACCCCAAATTTAAAGCCCAGCTTGATCCACCTGCACTTATTTTACCCAAGCAAAAAGCCATGCAAACACCTCTGCTGGCAGCTTACAATTTGCTGTTATTTAATTTGTTGTTTAGGACCCACAGCCACGTTTTTGGGAGGTGGCAAACCTTGAACCTGTTACTGGTATTGCTTGCAACCGGCTTTGTGCAATGGGGAGACGGGGTCCAACCCCTCAGCCAGGGTGGATGGAGGAGCCGAAACCTCAGAACGTGGAAAAACACCATCTCTGATGGTTCCCTGAAGGATGAGGCCAGTTTTTCTTCCCAGACAACCGTGCTTCATATGCGCTCGATGTTATGCCAGCCCCGGGGACTCTGCTGGGAAATGTATAGCGTAAGAGGTTCCTGTCCTTCTGGAAAACACCACGGGAAAAGGCAAGGTTTTCTCCAGCTGCCAGTTACAAAGCCTTTCTCTGTGCTCTGAAAGGGCTGACAATATACGTGAAGGTATACAAGTGTCCCCGGGGGAAAGGAAGGAGGGGGCCTGTTGGAACAGCCCAGTGCATTCACGCCCAGAATAGCACTGGCATCTTCACAGGGACCCGCAAGCATTAATTAGTTGTCAAAAGCTTGCAATAATCTGTTTGGTTTTGCCGAGCCATAAATACATCTGTTCTCCCTCACGCAGGTTTCCATCCTAGGATTGATTTTTTTTTTTTTTTTTTTTTTTTTATTCAATCTCTTCCA